TTAGTTGTAAGCCACCGTGTCCGGGACGTGAACAGCGGTCGACTACAGTGGAAGTCCAGCGACATAGCCATTACGCTAACTGCTGGTCCTGATACTGATTACATTTTAAAATAATTTCTCCCAAGAGCAAGGGGGAGACAGACAGCACCCCCAGCGGGTCCTGACGCTGTCTTTAGCCAGCCCCGAACTTGGGCACACGCGTGCCTGCAGTACTCAGGAAGGCCTCTGAACTCGAACCCGGACCCTTCCATGTGGGACTGCCTTGCTGAGTGTTGCGTTTTACCACTGCGTCACGTCTGGCCTCCCGTGTCCCCATGGTAGGACCTTTGCTGTCCTAGTAGGTAGACTGGCCCCCAAGGCCTTCCGGAGCAGTGATGACAGCTGTACTATAGTCGGGATCGGTGCCCGTGGGTCCCCCGCCTGGCACCTGAGAGAGGCAGAAGCCAGGCGCAGAGCTGGAGGGTGGACAGGGCCACATAACCCAGAAAACTCCCCGTCAACTGGCTCCTGCCCTCCAGACACACCTGAAAAGTGTCCCAAAGTTCCAAAACAGTGACTTTCCAGACTCAGAAACTAGGGCACCAGCCTAGCACCCGCCGGTCTGGATTTGGGGTGTAACCTCTCTCTGTGCAGGTTAACCCTCGGGTGGAAAGAATCGCTGAGAAAAGTCCAGGCCCAGCTGACCTCCCATCCCCGGGGGGCACCCAAATCTTGACTCCAACCTCATCTCCACCCCTCTTCTCTGCCAGCAGCACCTCACAGGGCCCCTCGTGGGGGGCTTCGAGTGGAAAGGGGCTCAACTCTGGGCTGCCAGCAACAGCCCTCCACCTTCCCAGCCCTCCAAGCCCTTTGGAAGGCTCGGGTCTGAGTCTGACCCCTGGGCCTGGGGCTCTGGCAGGATGGCAATCTCTCCTCACTGCACGGCACTCTGCAAAGCTGACCCAGACTGGACTCCTCCTGGGGGTGTTGGAAGAAAAGGCTGGGCCAAAGTCTCCAGATAGAGGCCAACGAGACCCTGACCTCACCGCCGCGGCCTCTCCCAGCCTCAGTCCCTAGTCAGTGTCCCGGCCCTGGCACCAATTCCTCCAGAGCGAAGTAAGCCCGAGGCAGCCAGCCGTGGTCTCAAAACCGTTTATTTCTCCCGACCGCAAAGGGGGAGTAGCTGCGAGCGGGCGGGCATATAACACTGCAAGGCGGGTTGGTCTGGTCGTTGCAGGCCCGGCCTGGCTCTCAGGCAAAGGTGGAGCCGTTCCAGCCCACGTTGGCCGCATTCATGTCGTAGTAATTGATGTAGATCCTGCGGAGAGTGAAAGCCGGGCTCAGAGGACGCCGCCGAGCCA